TTAGTTATTTTTTCTCCATTTTGAATTTTTTTTAAACCTGTTCAAAAAATTGAAATATCTGGAAGACCAAAAAATGTTATTGTTTTCAAATATAGTTTACATTTTTTAAATTATTCTGGAATTTCCATAAAAACATTCCCGTTTTCCGAATTATTTGTTCACAAATTTAAATAATGTCCGTGTTTAAAAAAAGGTGATAATTTTTTTAAAAGCATGTGGTTTGCAATTTTTGTTCAAAATTTTCATCTATTGTTAGGATTTTTTTAAAAAGTGTAAAAGTGTTCAACTTCAAATTTTGTATACATAACATGAAATTCAAATTTTTTTGACAAATTATAATAAATGGTTAGAACATAAGAAAATGTTCATGTTGATTTATAATTCGAAAATTGCAAATAACAAAATTATTCAAATTAGAAAAAAAAACATGCTCACCAACGGACCCTTCTAGCCTACCCAAACACTCTTCATTGAATATGGTCTATGTTCGTACATGCATAAAATAAACCCAACTTTTCAAGCAAGTGGCCATGCCCATGGTATGTACCCATATCATGCTTGAACGAATTCCGATTATGCAAGTTGTGTCATGTCCGGCCATTTATCAGGCTTTTTTCACCGAGAAACTTTAGAAAATACATATTTTAGAAAACCCAAACAACTTAGCATGATGTCTTGGATTGATGATACACTAACATGAAAAACATTTTAGGCCAATTCAAGTATGACGAGAAACAACGTGCTCTCAAACGGAGCCTTCTGGACTACTCGGAAGCCCTGTGTCGAACATGGTCTAGTTTTAGACATTTTTATATGCCCCCAACTCATGCCAACATGTGTGCATGCCCATGGTAGTCATCCATGACAGGTTCAAACGAATTCTGACACAGTATGCAAGTTGGTCGTTTCAACCATTTATCGGCCATTTTCACCTACAAAACTTCACAAGATGCAAGATTTTGTCAAAAACAAAAACAACTTAGTAGGATGACTTTAATTGGTCATATAATCTGGTGGAAAAATTTAGGGTCATTTGACAGTTGCCAAAAAACGCGCTCTCAAACGGAGACTTCTGGCCTACCCGGACACCTCCGTCGAACATGGTCTAGTTTTGGACATTCTTAAAATGACCTCAACTTTTGTAAGTAGGTGGGAACGTAATATTTCAAAATTTTCTTACGGTCATGCAAGATCTATCTAGGAGATGCATAGCAACGAGAGGAGGAGAGTGTGTCAACGTACCCTCGTAGACCGAAAGCGGAAGCGTTTAGTAACGCGGTTGATGTAGTCGAACGTCTTCGCGATCCAACCGATCCAAGTATCGATTGCACAGCACCTCCGCGATTTGCACACGTTCAGCTCGGTGATGTCACTCGAACTCTTGATCCAGTTAAGGCCGAAGGAGAGTTTTGTCAGCACGATGGCGTGGTGACGGTGATGATGAAGTTTACCGGTGCAGGGCTTCGCCTAAGCACTACGACGATATGACAGAGGTGTGTAACTATGGAGGGAGGCAGCGCACACGGCTAAGAGAAACTTTTTGTGTGCCTTTGGGGTGCCCTCTGCCTCCGTATATAAAGGAGGGAGAGGGAGAGGCAGCCGGCCCTAGGGGGCGCGCCAAGGTGTGGAGTCCTACTAGGACTCCGTAGTCCTAGTAGGATTCCACCTCCCATACAAAATAGGAAAGGGGGAAGGGAGAATGAGAAGGTAAGGGGGGCCGGTCCCCTTCTCCTAGTCCTAATCGGCCTCCTACCCAAGGGGGGGCCACCAGCCCTTTGTGGGATGGTGTGCTTCCCTCTTATGGCCCATAAGGTTCATAACTTCTTCGGGGGGTTCCGGTAACCTCCCGGTACTCTGGAAAAATGTCCGAACCACTCAGAACCATTTTGATGTCCAAATACAACATTCCAATATATGAGGGGCTGTTTGGATTGTGACTATCTTTGTCATATATTGCCACATGATTTTTGCCACACTTACCACACTTGCCTTAGTTGAGTTGCTCAAATTGTTAGCCACACTTTGGCTTGCCTAAAAGAATCTTGCCACACTTTTTGTGTCTATAACATGTGGGGTTCACTTCTCATAAAAAATCATTGCGTTATGTGTGGCTAGAACCAAACACCTACCTAACTTGGTCAAACTTGCCTAAGGTTAGGTGTGGCAATGTGTGGCAAGGTGTGGCAAGGTGTGTCTAGGAACCAAACAACCCCTGAATCTTTACCTCCCGACCATTTCGAGACTCCTCGTCATGTCAGTGATCTCATCCGGGACTCCAAACAAACTTTGATACATCAAATCACATAACTCATAATACAAATCGTCATCGAACGTTAAGCGTGCGGACCCTACGGGTTCGAGAACTATATAGACATGACCGAGACACATCTTCGGTCAATAACCAATAGCAAAACCTGGATGCTCATATTGGTTCCTACATATTCTACGAAGAACTTTATCGGTCAAACCACATAACAACATACGTTGTTCCCTTTGTCATCAATATGTTACTTGCCCGAAATTCGATCGTCGGTATCATCATACCTAGTTCAATCTCATTACCGGCAAGTCTCTTTACTTGTTCCGTAATGCATCATCCCGTGACTAACTCATTAGTCACATTGCTTGCAAGGCTCATAATGATGTGCATTACCGAGAGGGCTCAGAGATACCTCTTTGATACACAGAGTGAAAAATCCTAATCTCGATCTATGCCAACTCAACAAACACCATCAGAGACACCTGTAGAGCATCTTTATAATCACCCAGTTACGTTGTGACGTTTGATAGCACACAAGGTGTTCCTCCAGTATTCAGGAGTTGCATAATCTCATAGTCTGAGGAACATGTATAAGTCATGAAGAAAATAGCAATAAAACTAAACGATCATAGTGCTAAGCTAACGGGTGGGTCTTGTCCATCACATCATTCTTCTAATGATGTGATCCGTTTCATCAAATGACAACACATGTCTATGGCTAGGAAACTTAACCATCTTTAATTAACGAGCTAGTCAAGTAGAGGCATACTAGGGATATTTTGTTTGTCTATGTATTCACACATGTACTAAGTTTCCGGTTAATATAATTCTAGCATGAATAATAAACATTTATCGTACAAGGAAATATAAATAACACCTTTATTATTGCCTCTACGGCATCTTTCCTTCAATGCATCCATGCCAAGTTTCAAAGATTTCTGAGTTCTGACACCATATGCAAGTTGCGACACATCTGGCCATTTATCGGCCTCTTTAGACCGAGAAAACTCTACAAAATGCAAATTTTGCCAAAAACCAAAACAACTTGCCATGATGCCTTAAATTGATCATACAAGCTAATGACAAAAATAGATTCATTTGACGGATGTCCAGAAACAACGCACTCTCAAATGTAGCTTCTTGAACATGGTGTTGCTTTGGGACATTATTGAAATGACCACAACTTTTGCCAATGGGTGAGCATGCCCATAGTAGGCATCCATACCAGATTTGAATGAAAAATATATTTAAAATCATAATTTAAACATGTACTTATAGCTGTTATTTTGAGTTTTTAATATAAATAATAAATACAAAATGATAAATTTGAAAATAGTAAATGCTTTTCTTAAAAAGCATTTAATAAATGTTTGACCAAAAAAAATTTAAAATCATAATTTGAAACATTTCCATAAAACTGTTATTTTGGAGTTCCAAATAATATTTCAAATTCTGGAACTGGTTTCAGAAAGATGAATAAAGTTTAAAAGGAGAAAATGAATTAACAAAAAAAGGGAATAACAAAAAAATAGAAAAGATAAACATACGCTTAGGCCTTGGTCCAACTAGGCGACGTCGCTCCCATCGAGCGCATGCTGGGAATTTCTAAAACTATTTGCATTTTAAAAAATTGTTCATGAAATCTAAAAATGTTTGCAAATTTCAAATATTGTTCATGGTTAAACATTTTGTTGAAATTTGTAACCATGTTCATGTTCTCAATATCAAAAAAGTTCGGGAATATAAAAATATGCATGCTTTAAAAATTGAAGTTTAAATTTTTTATTATTATAATTTTTGTTCACAAATTGAAATACAATCGGGATTTCAAAAATGTCCTCGATTTAAAAAAATTCTTCACTTATCCAAAACAAGTTTGCTTTTTCAAATTTTGGTCTGAGTTTCTAAAAATGTTCTCATGCTTTCAAAAAATGTTCCTGTTTTGCAGAAAATGTTCGTTATTTGTTTCTTTTTCTCGAAAAATGTGTTGAATTTCGTAATTCTGTTTGCATTTTTGTAAATTATTCACGATTCCAATTTTTTTTATTTTTTCACAAAATGTTCAGAATCCCAAAAGTATTTTCCATTTTTTGAAAAATGTTCTGGAATTTCAGAAATTGGTCAAATTTTCAAAAAGGATGTGGAGTTTCATGAAGTATTTGCTGTTTCCAAAAAATATTCGACATTTCCTAGTCATTCATATTTTTTTCAAGAAAAGTTTCGATTTCATCCAGAATTTTTTTTATATGTGAATGCTGTTGTGTGTTCTTATATAATTTTCATTAGCAGTTGTGCGAGAGAACTGACACAGAGATCCTAGTACATGGTGTCTCCTTACGGCCTGTATGTTATGAAAGGATATTGGAAGCTCTTTATACGTTTATTGAGGAGGGTCTCTCAAAACCATACTTCATACTTCAAGGACATATACGTCCATCGAAGCAGAAAACGGGAATTAGATAACGTGACATATTTTATCATCAGAGAACAGAACATCTATTGACACATCTGCAACGCTTATGCCCTTTTATTTGCATACAAATATTACAATTTTTCAGTCCCTCATGCTAATCCTTTCTTATATACTAGTAGTACTATGTAACCTTGTACCACAAGCACAAGTGTCACTCTGTAGGTGAACGTCGTAGCACAAGGCAAAGGCCCACGCCTGAGCCCGGTTATTACCATGTATGTAACTGCACCAGGGTTATACCATATGCTTGCAACAGTATCTACAGATTCAGTACTGGGAAGACCAATCTGCAGCGCTGCCAACACGGGGAATGCCGGCGGTATCTTTCTTGGCCTGTTCATCGACCGCGTAAGTTGCGCCGCATACTTCCCCTTTGCTGTCGACCCTTGGCACCGGCTTCACCTCGTTCAGGGGATGCTCGTAGCTCTGCAAACCCCCGGACGTCGTGAAGAAGAAACCTGACAAGGAAAACATCGGATGCCGGTGATCAGAGGGCGTGAAAAGAATATCAGAGATGCTTGTGCGATTGCTTGCTTGATGTGCAATTTAGGCACACCTTTGGGGAACGGTGCGAAAGATTTTCCACAAGCGTTCTTCACAACTTCATCGTCATCGGACACTACAAGATGACCCTCTGAATCAACTCCCCAGTAAAACGGGACGCCACCATCAGCATCCTATAAGAAGATGGATAGCCGATGTAAGTTGATATTTCTTTGCAGTACTAAGTAAGGAGTAATTGGTGTCTTCTGTCACATTGATGTTGAAATGCAGAACGTTAGACAGGCAACATGAAGATTAGTTCAGAATAACAGAGGGATTGGTAGCATCTAGTCAGATGTTGAGGATGTACTGTTGAGATGCCATTTTGCTGAACTATGACCTAAAATCGTCTGTCCGGACATACTTTGAGTGCTAATTGTCACATGCTGAATATTGTATAAACGCAGCCCTAAAGTTCAGTGAAAATTTGGACTAAACTGGGACTGACATCGAACACAACTGTTGAAACCATCACAGGCAACTAACTCTGAATAAAAATCATTACTAGAGAGGATGGATATCAGCCCTCTTTTTCTCTGCTTCCACAAGAATTTTAGTCAACTCCAAATGCACTCAACAAATCCTCCATCGTAAGGGCCTCAGGCAAGGAGATCCCCTCTCCCCGCTGCTCTTTGTGCTTGTGGTGGACTGCCTTGGAAGGTTGATGGACAAAGCACAAAGGAACAACATCCTATCCCCTCTGGGTAACCAACTTGTTAAACACCGTGCATCTATTTACGCAGACGATGTCATCATTTTCCTCAAGCCTGAGATGCATGATTTTGGGGTTGTAACTGAAGTGCTGAAGATTTTTGGTGAAGCAACCGGTCTCATCACTAACCTGGCTAAAAGCAAGATCCTTCCTATTCGGTGCGATGGCCTTGACCTTACTCCCCTGCAGCTGGCTCTTGGATGCCAGCTGGCTAGCTTCCCCTGCACTTACCTTGGGATGCCTCTATCTGATAGGCGGTTGAAGCTCGTTGACTTTCAAGACCTACTTGACAAGTTAATTAAGAAGATTGCTGGTTGGAAGGCTAGGTGGATCTCCTCCACTGGAAGAATGGTTCTCGTGAGGTTTGTACTTTCGGCAATGCCAATTTTCATGCTTCTGGCTGTTCATCAACCGAAATGGGTCATGAAGCAAATCGATAAGCTACGTCCTACTTTTTTATGGTCTGGCTCTGATGCTGTCTGCGGTGGCAAGTGCCTTGTTCGCTGGACCCAGGTGTGCTCACCCATCTCTGTAGGCGGGCTTGGCATCCATGACCTTCAAGCTCAGGGGCGGGCGCTTAAAGTACGCTAGCTTTGGCAAAGCGTCACAAATCCAGATAAACCATGGCAAGGTCTGCAGCTCCCTGTTGACAAGCACGTTAAGGCTCTTTTCATTGCTTGTACCTCCATCAAAATTGGTAGTGGTATTAAGATATCCTTTTGGCACGATCACTGGCTCAACGGTGAGATTCCAGCTGTTTCGTTTCCTAATCTTTTCAAGCATAGCAAGAACAGAAGAATATCGTTGGCTGAAGGACTCACCAATAGAAAATGGGTCACTCTTCTCAAGCGCAACCCCGACACCGAGGTGTTGCGCGAATACATTGACTTCTGGCGCAGATCCAGTGTGGTCACTTTGTCCAACCTGGAGGATGAGTTCATTTGGAAATGGTCAGCGGATGGAAGATATAATGCTAAGTCAGCTTACCTATGTCAATTCTGGGGCAAGATTGATTCTCCTCTTCCTAAGATCATTTGGCATATCAAGGTTCCACCAAGAATAAGATTTTTCAGTTGGCTCTTTGTACAGGGCAAATGTTTGACTGCGGACAACCTTGAGAAGCGAGGTTGGCCTCACAACCCGATCTGTCAATTATGCCACTTAGGGTGGGAGGATGGTCTGCACCTTGTATCTAGCTGCCCTTTCACGGCTGGAATCTAGGGCTATTGCCTGGCGATATATAATTTTCCATTCAACCTCTTACATATTGCTCATACTGGCTCTATATTGGACTGGTGGTTAAAGGCTCTGGATCGTACAGGCAGGAAAAAGGACATATCATCACTTATAATGGCGGTGTCGTGGCAGGTTTGGAAAGAAAGAAACAGCCGCATATTCAACAACAAGGCAAACCACTTCCTGAAGGTCGCTGAGAACATTATCAATGAGCTGAATTCTTGGAGAATCGCTGGATTCAAAGGAGCACAATGGACAGGCGCGAGATAATTTCCTTCTTTCTTTCTTTCTTTCTTTTTCTAGTGTACATTTGTATAGCTTTTCCTTCCCCTTTCTGGCTGTTAGCCATCCTGAACCTTGACTTGCATTTCTTGGGGTGTCTCATCCTATCTTAATGAATGAAATCAGCACAATGCTGTTTTTCGTCAAAAATCATTACTAGACAGGTAAGTACCAGTACATAAGAACTGACATTTCAAACTCTTCAAGAACAAACACACATTGTACTGCAATAACAGAGGTACAAGTTCAAAGTAAGCACACAACTGCAATCATAGAACTTGATTATCGTGGTACTATTTCGTGCTAAAAAAGGTTTACTAGAGCGTGCACTTTACTGAACTGAATCGAGTACAAAAATGAAATCCAGACATTCACTTACAGCAGCCATGAAGACCGAACTGGTGGAGCGATCATACAGCACAAACGCGAATTTGCCATTGAAGTCCCTCACGACCTGGTCTGCAGGGTAAGGTCCCCTGTCCCTCAGGGTTCTGTAGGCCTCAATGACGAGGTTGATCTCAGTGGCACTCTTGCTCAACCCGTACTGCTGCTTCAGCACAGCCATGTTCTCGATCGCGCCTTGGAACAGGCAGAATATGTCGTCGACGACGCCGAACAACCTACCAACGTAGATGATTCAGTAGACGAAAAGATACAGTAAGAAATTAGCATTAGCTGAACCCATGGCGACATGAACAAAATTTATGCGAGATCATGCACGGGCATCTCCATGCTTGCAGCTGACGCAGACGCACCGTCGATCCGTGGATTTAAGCAGGAACGCACGGCACGAGGGAAACGAAATCGACGGAGAGTTCCGTGACCTCACCTGGGGAGGAAGGGGCTCTGGCCGTGGGAAGAGTAGGCCATGGCGCCACCGCCGCCGAAGTCGACGGTGACCGCGCCGGTGCGGGCCTCCCGGAACCGGGCAGCGAGCCCGTCCGCGCCGTGCCCGGCCTCGCCCGGCTGCCGCAGCCCCTCCGGGCTCGGCGCCACCGCCCTGTCGAACACAGCGAGCATCTCGAGCCGGAGCCGAAGCCTCGTTCGTCCTCCGCGCGCGGGCGTGGGTGTGGTGGGAGCGTCGTGTCGTACTACGGCTTTGGCGGTCGCGATCCTTCTAGTACGATCGGTGCTGTGTCCCGGGACGGCGAGGCGTTGTCTTATACTGCACCGGCGGCGGTACGTGGCCGTTGCCGTACGGGGCGATGCGTCGGTGGAGAGCGAGTGCGCGGGGAATGCCGCCGAAGGGTCGAGACGGATCGGCTGCGGCGCCAGAGCTACTTTCGGCCTTTTTTGGAGCTACTTTTCGTAATAGCCTACCTTCGGCGCGGGTGCTCGTGGGTCGGCCCGTTAAAACCGTATACTGCGTTTTATCGGTGTTTTGTTTTCTAAATACTGTTTTATATATTTTTTGCTTTCAGTCTTGGTTTCCAACGGTTTTCTGTGTCGGTTTTCAATGGTTTTATTATTTTTTATGTATCTAGTTTTTCTTATTTTTAGCATATTTTTATTTTTTCAGAAAATGCCAAATTTTTACATACACATTTTATGTCCAATTTTTTATATACGAAACATCTTTCATGCATGTCTAATTTTTTTCCTAATACATGATTAAGATAATTTTCAAATATAAGTTTTTAATTTTTTTTTCAAATATGCCCTAATGTTTTTATTCAAATGCGCATGGAACATTGCTTTGAATGATACAAAACATTTTAGCAACTACGTGAACATTTTTTACACTATTCAATATTTTTTAACTGCACAAACACATTTTTTTAAGATAACACGTGCATTTTTTGGATGGTACTATCCTATTTTTTAACTGCATGAACTTTTTTTTACATAAAACAAACTTTATTTTTAAATGCCACATACATTTCTTTGAAACACAATAAAATTTTTTAAACATCACGAACAATGTTTTTAAATGTTATTAACATTTTTCAAAGTTGCGTGAGCAATGTTTTTAGCACCGTGTTATATTTTTTTTAGCGTTTGCTAGAGATCCAACGCTCCCCCATGATTGGTCAGCCCATTTCAAAGGGGGTGGGGGGCTGGGGCGAGGAAACCTATGCACCCCACAGCAAGCGAGGTATAGGTGCTCCCCTGCGCCGGGAATTATGCCAACCCAAAGCGACATGCGTCAAGACAAATATAACATGCCCCTCCGTTCGGGTTTATTAGACCATTCACATTTTGAGCCAAAGTTTGATCATTCATGCATGTAATAAATATGAGTTATATGTAGCAAAAAAATATCATTGAAAACTTCTTTCAAAAATGAATTCAACAGTATAATTTTTCATGACATACCACTTAATTTTTGTAAATCAAATCCACGATCAAGATTTGGCCTAAAATATAAGGGAGCCTAATAAACAAAGGAGCACCTTTTTTCATTTATCTGCTAAGGAATTCACCTATTTTGTTTGGAGGGGTGCTAAGGAATCCACCTTGATGAAAGGAAAAAAGCTCATTAAATATCTAAGTTTAAAGGGTTTACGTTCACCATCCTAATCATGGTTTCCTACCCCCAAGGTTAAAAGTAAATGCACTTTCTCTTTGAAAATGCTATCTTATCATTTATTACCTCCCTTAGGAAATAAGTAGTATAGTTTTATTCGTTTTAAGCAACTAAGTGGCTGAAATTTATACAACACAAATAAAAACTTTGGAGTCACCATTCCGGTTTCAACCCGGCATGGAGGTCATGCACCCACCAACCGCGAAACTTCAAGGCAACACAACACATTGCAATGTGATGAAGGGTTGGTCTCCAAGGGGGAAGCAACAAGAACATTTTCGCCGACCGCTCTGAGACCAACCTAAAGTTTGGGTTTCTACCAAGAGATCACAAGAACCAAATGCCCCGCCCCGGGGGAGGGGGTGTAGGGCCTCCACAACGACACCTCCAAGGTCACCATTGTCATCGGCATTAATCGAGGTTGGTGTTGCTTAAGCTCACCAACCCCGTCTTTCCTCCTAGCCTGCACAATCGACCACCATTGTTAGTTATCCTGTTAGCATTACTCGAGCCACAATAGCCATGCACACCATTCAATCTACCGCCATCATCGACCAAGTACCACCATACGACACATGTGCCATGACACCTCACTTCATGAAGGTCAATGTGCTACATGCCTAGGTATGTGCATTAGGCCCCAAAGCCACTCACCCCGCACAACTCAAGGGCACACCCTCGACTCTGGAACTATATATCGCCATAGCCTCCACAACATCCATAATAGCACACGACCACTGCCTATGTTATGCACTCACATGTATAGATCGAGCCACTAGTATAAGGCGAGAGATACAACGGGATTTTATGCTCTAGATCTAGATTTTACTCTCTCTCTCT